CTGCCCCCTCCTGCCCCTCTGGTGCCCCCCTCCCGCCCACAGCTCCGCCCAAGCCGAAGCCCGTTCACCATGAGGAGGGGGCTGTGGCGAGGCGGCGGAGCGCGCATGCGTCTGCGTGCCCGGCTGCTTTTCTCCTTTTTTTCCCAGCCTAGTGCGGCGGCGGAGGTAGCGGTAGCAGCGACAGCAGCACGAGCGGGAGGACGAGCGAGCGCTGAAGCGGCAGCAGGCTTAGCCGGAGAGCCGCGGACAGGTCAGAGCGAGGCCAGGACGGGGCTTCTTTGGAGCTGAGACGGAAGGAGACGGAGGGACCCGGGAGCCGCGAAAGAGCAGCGCGCGCGCCACACCCAGCCCCGCCGCGTATCTTTCCTGCTGTGGCGCGCCAGCCTGTTTGGGCAGCCCGCCGGTCTGGAGTTGTTGGCCGTCCCCCAGCCTCCACCGCCTCCTCTTCTGGCTGCTGCAGGAAAAGCCCCGCCGACGCCGCCACCTCCCTCCCTCCAGACTCGGGCTCCTTTTCCCGCCCTCTCCGCCTTTGGTGGAGCTTCCAGCTCGCCTGAAAGGTGCTCCTTTCTAGAGCAGCGAGGGCGCGGGGAAGAAAATCCGCCCGAGGAATCTCCAAAGTTGCCATTAATTGCGTTGTTTTAACACTGGCATTAAGGATCGAGACAAAGCGCCCGAGGAGCAAGGAGGAAAAGAGGACACCCGAGCCTCTTCCACATTCCTGTGCAGCGGAAAAAAAAGAGGCGGAGAAGGAGATCGCTCCCCATAAACACGACCGAGTTCGTCGCGCCGCCTCCCTCTTCTGCCGCAACAAAATCGAGATCTAAACGCGATTCGGGGTTTTGACAGATGCACGTTTTTTCAAGCTTGGCTTCCAGCAGGAGAATCATGTAGATCTCTTGGGGGGAGGGGAAAGGATTCTGTGGGCCGGGGTGGGGGAGGGAGAGGGAAGAAAAATGGGGGATGCTGCAGACGTCAAGGAAATGAAGAAGACGTTCATTGTCCCAGCCATCAAACCGTTTGATCATTACGATTTCGCCCGAGCGAAGATCGCCTGTAATCTAGCTTGGCTAGTGGCCAAGGCCTTTGGGACAGGTAGGTTGATGGTTCTTGTAGAGCCTTCTTTTCTGCCATTCTGGGGTCTGCTTCTTTTACTGGTGTATGTGTGAATCACCCATCCGTTGAAGACATGAATAAAAAAAAGGAGTCAGGGAAAATAACTAATAATGAATAACAGGGTGGTGGTATTATTATTATTATTATTATTATTATTATTATTATTATTATTATTATTATACAATGTTTTGTTGTGTGTTTGTATCACAGCTACAGTTGTGTTTTGTGTTACAGTGAGTGATTGTTGCCGTTAATGATTTTTAAAAATTAGCTCTTCCATCAGCTTGTGTGCAAAAGGTTACTTCCTTTCCTTTGCCACCCTCATTAAATAGATACCGTTTTTCCACTTAAATAGAAAAATAAATACATTAAAAAAATAGAAATGTTGAATGGTGTTTTTGATGTCTGGGGGTTGTGAATTCAGGCTAGGTGAAAAACAGTTGTGTCCTTTGAAAAATGCTCAGCATTTTCTCCTTGTCTGAGTCCATTTGAGAGAGGGTTGAAAGAAGTCTGTAAAAGGGGAGTGACTTCTGATTGCAATCTAGGCCGTAAGGAGAAAAATAGCCTTTTTCCCACCAAAGGCTTTCAGGGAATATTTACCCCCCAACATATTATATGGCAGCATTAACACACAGAAGGCAATGATAGATAATGGAGGTGTTTCCCAAAGATCTACAAGATGACCATCTGCCATTTATCAGTCTTTCTCACTCTGTTTGTCATCGTCTACTATAGAATAATGGGAAGAGTATTTTTCTACTTTCAATTCTGCAACTGTTGCATTTAATGCATAATGTAACAAGACAACAGTTGTGTTTTGTTCCTGACAAAAGGTTGGAGGGTATTGCTCTTAGAGTATTTATCCTGTGGGGAATAGCTGTCACAAATTACCAAGTTAATGTACAAATGAGTAGCAAGATTTATATTCAACTGTCAGTCTGCCTTTATTAGGGCAGAGGAGTTTATTATCTTTGGAGACTTTGCCAAACAGTGTTTTTCCTTCTTTTCAATTATTGAATGTTTGCATTTAAAAATGCTGATGTGCTGGAAATGTAGAACAATACCTAAATTTCAGAAATGGCATAGTATTATTATCTGCCACTTAAGATTTCATTTTGCAGGTACAATCATGAAAAACATTTTAATTAATGCATTGTGGTAATGTTGAAATAATTCTTGTCTGATAAACAAGCAAAACCACATTCCTATAGTTTCAGCTCCTAGTCATCAAAAGAGTACAAGCATCAAGTACAGAGAAACCAGGTGATATGTGTGAATGTGTGAACTCTAAGCCACAATCCTAAGTGTTCATTTAGGCATTATGTCCCATTGAAGTCAGTGGAATCATTTCCAAGTAGACACACATACATGATCAACCTGGAGAAATGTATAATTTATTCTAAGATAAAACTTAGGTTTTGGGAAACATACAAGCAAGGTAGTTGGCTATTGTCTGTTAAAAACTTACTCTGTTGTTGAAAATGCCAGTATTCAGAATAGTGTTTTACAGAGACATTATTTAAGCTGTGAATAGTTGTTCTAGTCCAGATTGATTTAATTAAGACTTCAAAGATAATTTAAGGAGAGGATGGCAAATAAGAATTAGTATATGCGGCATGAAACGCAGAAATATATTATTTCTTTGCATGAAGCAAAATTTAGAAAATAATACCAAACATAGAAGACCATTATAACATTTCTTCTCATATCAGTTACTCTTCACAGAGAGAGTCATAGGTCTTGTAAACATATGAGTTTACTATTCAGAGAAACAACAGACAATTACCAAAGTGTAAATGTGGCTTTTGTATTACGTTTTCATACTATTCTGATTGTCTCATTCTGGTTTCCAAAATAGCTGTTGTTTTTTGACATTATTTACTTCATATTTGAATTGGAACCGCCACTGACCAAGAGATGCTTGTGATTTGATAGACCACTTTTTTTAGCCTATTCAGTTGGATAGCTTTGAAATTTGCAAGTATGATATGGATACATTTAGAAAATGGTTGCTATGAGAGAACTGCAACGTTCTTGTTTGCTAAAATGTCAATGGTCCATTACATATCACATATTAAATGGAAGGCAAATTAAACAAGTTGCTCCCTGCTATCATTTTTAGGATGTTCCCTGCCATCTTCATCTTATTGCTATCTTTCTTGTAGGCCATCTTCCATTTTTGCTTTCTAAGAATGCTTAGGGGACTGGCTGGCAAACAGAGACTCTACTGAACATGAAGGCATTGCTGGACACCAGTACTTTGCAGTATACCAGCTTCTTGTTGAATTAAATGAAATGTAAAAGACCAGCTCCCACTATATCACCCAAATAAGACCACCAGTGAAGCTGGCTCTCAAGGGTAGGGCCTTCTTCATAGTGATGGTCTCCCAATTAGGGATCTTTCCTAGGGAAGTATGGATAGCCCCCATGATGTCTTGCTTTAATTCACAATTGACAACATGTTTGTTCTCCTGGGCATTTACCACAACTGCTTCTGGACAGGATTCCCTGGCTGCTCTTTAAAATGAATTCTTGTTTGAATCCTTCTGCTCTAGTGGGTATAGTGTTTTGTTTTATGGGGACTTGTTTTGGTTGTTTTTATTAAAGGTTTTTTTTAATTTGTATTCTGCTCTGGATTCTTTTATGGTGTCAGTGGTGGAGGTGTTTGTTGGCATATTGAGAACTGGTGTCATCAAGTTGCCCATCTTTTGCTACTTTTGTTAATTATCTAATCTGAAAATAACTTATGCCAGGTTTTGCAGATCATGCTTAGCCATTACATTATAGTTTTTGGAATGGTGCATTGTGCAAATCTAGGCACTCTAGTTTGCAATCAGTGCTTTATGGCTTATTGTTATTTGTGAAGCCATCATAGTTGCCATTTCAAAAATGAGGCCATAGCTCATTGTGATGTGTGAATAATCTTCTAATTTTCTTAGAAGTAAAAAGCTCATTGGTTTATGTATGTGTATCTATATGTCATTGCTCAGAAGCTACATTCCTTACAATAGTGTTGTCAGACATAAAGTTCAGTGGGGTTCCTTGCCCTTTGAAAAATTGTTGCCCGTTATTTCACCTCTTCTGCTGTCTTTACTAAAGCAAAGGGACTGAGAATCTTAGGATTCATTAACATTTCACACTAAACTGTGGTTTCTTGAACTAGTTTGTTATATAGGCCTTAATTGAGTGAGTCCACACAAACCACGGTGGCTGGATTCAGATAATTCAGCTAAGTAAAAAGCAGCCTAACCACCTTATGTTATAATGCAAGGCATAAATGAGTCTCATTAGTGACTAATATTGCATGCCAGGGTCATCTATATGTGAAATCCAATGCTTATCAATTTAGGCAATCCTAAGTAACTTTGGTTTCTGAACACAGAAATAATTTGCTAAAAGCAGAACTGATTTAGGTTTATTTAGGTTGGGGAATGTATTGGCCCTTTGAGACTTGCCTAATTCTTGTAAGAATCACCGGCAAGGAAAGCCTATTATCAGGCAATATGACAGTAGAATATACATATGTACATCTATATGTATATATGTATGATGTCACTGTAAGGACCAGGACCAAAAGTTTTGTTCTTTTATGGGAGAGGATTGAGTTTCTTTAGACTCAGTATAGTTGAGGGCAACATACTAATTCATGATTAACTAAACTGTGGTTTTCTAAATCCAGCTGCCTGGGTTCAGCAACACATATGAACCTAAGTGGTTGGGTTTAGTAAGCCATACATTTAGAATTGGTGGCAAGAAAGTGGCTTATGCTGCTGGTTTCACAATTTATTTAGTGCTGAGGTGGACTATTAGCAGCTCATTCTTGAAGTCTTCATTGAAGTGCAAATCACTGATTTGTACTGTTGAAAATGTTCATGCTTTAAACACCCACACATACTCCTAATGTCTTGAATAGGCCTTGTAAGATTCTGGTGGGCTTCACATAACTATGTTGAGTCTAAAGAAACTCAATCCTCTCCCATAAAAGAACAAAACGTTTGGCCCTGGTCCTTACAGTGACATCATTGTATCATTCCAACACCCCACTGTCCCTTGGAGGAGTGGACATTTATTTTTGTGTAGCCACAAAAAGACTACCCCTGACAGTGTATTATAAAGTATTTCATATAAATATTCATGTGTGGTTATGCATGATCACAGTAATGCTTATTGCAATCCTGAAGGTAGCTTGGTATTTGTAGTGCAGATATGGGATGGGCTTTGCACTATTATTTTGGAGTTTTGTGCATGCTTATTCCATTATGTCAAAAAGTGCCTTGAAGAAGCGAAGAGAGATATAAAATTAAAAACAGGTTATCCTTCAGTCTTTATTTCTAACTTCGTAAACTGCAAATAAGTTTCTTGGTGATCTAATTACAACATAAGTTGACCATGTAATGTAGTTTGTTTGATTTTAGTTTAGGATATTGAGTGCAATCATCCATTATGGTTTGCACATCGTCTTTGATAGTTTAACACAGTGTATGAATTGAATTGTGATTGATTCAGCAAACCATAGTTAACAAAAGCATGATTTACAAACTCAAGCACTGAAATATAGTAGAACATTTAATTAACTTTTGTTGTTATAAATTAATTATTTTGGAAATGTCACCAAGATTATATGCTGTATACTTTCAGTAATCTTTTGACTCTGATATAGTAATCAATATGCATTGGTCACATGTAATCCAGCAGAGTGAATTGATTTTAATGGCTCCATCTAGGTTTGTTTTAGCAGACTTTTATGCTTCTGGAGTATAGTGGAGTAACATTGTAATTTCTTAAAGGTAGGATTTAGATTCAAGTTGCATTGATTCAATAATTATATGTCTAGGGTATCTTGTGGACAAATACATTTACTGAAGGTCAGCTCCAAGGGTACAGTTTTGGCTAGGCACTGCAGATTGAATGGGTATTGCTTAGAATTTTGATTCTAAGAAGTTAGCTGGGTGGCTTTATCTTATAGCATCTTAAGGCTG